ATGAATTTTTCAAAATGCAAACTAATACCCCAAGTTCCAGACAGGTGAAGGCTGGTCAGTTACTATGTTCTTAGTCTCCTTTACTTTTTTTTTGAGATGGAATTTTGCTCTTGTTGCCCAGGCTGGAGTGCAATGGTGTGATCTCGGCTAACTGCAAACTCCTTCTCATGGGTTCAAGTGATTCTCCTGCCTCAGCCTCCAGAGTAGCTGGGATTACAGATGCCCGCCACTACATCCAGCTAATTTTTTGTATTTTTAGTACAGATGGGCTTTCACCATGTTGCCCAGGCTGGCCTTGAACTCCTGACCTCAGATGATCCACTCGCCTCCTCCCAGTGCTGGGATTACAGGCATGAGCCAGCCTCCAGCTGCCTTTTTTTTTTTTTTTTTTTTTTTTTTTTTTCTAAATGAGTTTGGGGGAAAGCAAAAGTTCTAAAGCTAGAGCTGGGTCGAAATTAAGTCAAATTTTGCAGTAGGGCTGTTTAATATCATCTCTAATTTAATTAAACATTCAATCACACCCTAAAACTTGTATTCTTTAAAAAGAAAATAGTCTGGGTGTGATGGTTCATGCCTGTAATCCCAGGACTTTGGGAGACTGAGGCAGGCAGATCATGAAGTCAGGAAATTGAGACCAACCTGGCCAACATGGTGAAACCCTGTCTCTACCAAAAATACAAAAATTAGCTGGGTATGGTGGCACATGCCTGTAATCCCAGCTACTCAGCAGGCTGAGGCAAGGGAAACCCTTGAACCTGGGAGACAGAGGTTGCAGTGAGATTGCATCACTGCACTCTAGCCTGGTGACAGAGGGAGACTCCATCTAAAATATATATATATATATATATATATATATATATATATATATATATATATATATATATACATATACACACACACATATATATAATAACAAATAAAAATGAAAGTTGTTTTTGTTTCCTGGGCTACCAATATTTCTTCTAGATGTTCAATAGTTTGACAGAAACCAAGACTGTTTGATATTTTTAAGGTTTGATGAGTCAAGTGAATTCCATAGTAAAAATTCTGCCATTACCCCCAGAGCTTCTATTAAGGCTATGTTGCATGGTTTCTCTGTTAGTTATTCTGTAAGAATTAAGAAAAAATTATTAGAGTGACTCCATTGAAAACAAAACTGGTAGCCTGTTTTTTACTCTATAAAATATTCTTCATATCTCTGTATCCTCTAGAAAGCACATATTTGAATTGAATGTATTTATTGATATTACATTTTACCAAGATGTTCAGGTGATTCTGAGCTTTCAAACTGCAGAAATCCAATCAATTACATAGAAATATACAGTCAATGATAGAGATATTGTATCTACATAATGTTAAACATCTGAATTGACTGAACTGAGGAACTCTTTAGGCAATGTGTAGATAGAGCTGAAATGTCACAAATATGATAATTTAAACCATGCCTCTTTTGTACTAAAACAACCAACTATAAAAGCAATATATTTAGTCAATCAGATAATGCTTCGGGTTTACACAATTTCCAGCCATAAGTCTGAGTAATTTATCTTACTGAATTTACCCAACATTTAGATGGTTTCCTAAAATATAATTGAATCTCTGAATAAAAGAAGAAAAGATTCTGGGCTGGATTTTCTGCATAGAGACCATAAGTTAAAAACCAATAAGCCAGGAAAAAAATTCCCATTTGTCACTTCCTTTTAAAATGTAGCTCTTTTAGCCTATGAACATTTGAATTTTAAAACTTGGTTAGAAAGACCTGACCCAGATAAGTATTTATTAAAATGTAAATTAAACTTGCCCAAAAGAAAAAAATGCAGAGAAAATACTAAAATTAAAGTCCTTTGGCTATAGAAAGTGGAGATTTGAACCTTTCAAAGATTTAAGAAAGTAACTATTTTGGAAGAAAAAAAAGCAGGTCACTAATTTTGCACAAAACTGGCTCCCCTTCCCCGTTCTCATTTCCCGTGATCAGGAGCACCACATTCTTCCAGACTCAGGATCCTGGTGCCATACTGAATTGTCCTTTCTTCATCTTTTCTAATATGTTCATATCACACCCTTTCTTTCTTTGAAACATTTTTTGGTTTACTCTTTACTTTAAACTATCCTGATAGAGAATTTTTCTGCCTTATACCTGTATCACTACTAACAACTTCCAAAGTGGTTTTTCTGTCACCAGTCTCTTTCACTTCAAATATGCCTCCCCCAATGCTGTCAGATTTCTCATCCCTAAACACCATTTCATCATTGCTGCTCCCTGCTCATCACTCACGTTCTTTATTTCCTCTGCATTAAGTGCAAATTCCTTTCCTTGCCTGACTGTCTGGATCCTCTACAGCCTTCTCTGTCTCTTTGTCCTTCACTCTCACACACTTCCATCAATCCGGTCACTGTTTCACATTCCCCCAAATACATCATTCATTTCAGACAACTAAGTCACTCCATTCTGTAAGTCCCACTCTATGTGCCCCTTCTTGGCGCCTCTCCAAACCCATACCATTCTCATTCCAGCCACTGCATCTTGTCCTTTATGCATGGAACACCATCCTTCTTGACTTTTACTTTTCAAATTATCTTCATCCTTCCAGAACCATCTCAAATGCCACCTCTTCCAAGAAGAATTCTCTGATCCCTGTAGCCCAGTAATTTTCCTTCTTTGCTCTGAACTCCCATCCCATCTATAATCAGGATTGAATTACGAGGCACATTACTTAAATACACTCCTACTGGCTTATATGTCACCCAATGTTTCTCAATTAGGGTGTTACGGGTATTCGTAACAAGGACCTTCATTCCTTATTCTTGGATGTTAACTGACAGTGGTGTTGATGTGACAACCCCTAATGCTCAGAATGTATTTCCAAATGCTCTAATTATTAAAAAAAAAACTCCTTAAAGAAGTTACTATGTCATATACACATTTGTTCAACAAGTAATCTTTGTTAAAGCAGTGAATGTATATTTTTAAGGAAATACCTGTAGTTCCCTTAAGGTTGCCAATATATTTTTAAAAATTAGGAAGGAGCCTAGCTAACACTCAGATGTTAATCATCATTGCACTTTAGGCATCTTTCATGAGGTATTTCACAGGATCTTACACTGATCCTAGATATCGCTATTTATCTCATTTCATAACTGACAAAACTAAGGCTCACAGAGTTCTGCTTATCCAGGGTTATAGAGTTTGAATGGAATCCTGGCATTTAAGCCCGAGGTTGTTTAGAGCCAAATCTTTGGCTTTTTCTCCTATCATACAGCCTCTGTAAAGACAGCTTATCAGTAACAGCTTTGAAATCAGAGTGTGGACATGTAACATAATTTGCAAATTAAAGCATGTCATTAATGCTGATAGGTACTAATGACTGTAATGGAAAGAAAGGACATTAGACAAGACAAACAAGTTTTAAAAATTTATAACAGGAATGCAAATTGGCATCTAATAAATGGATTTACTCCCTGACCTTCCTTGCTGCAGACATAAACCTATGTTTGGTATCTAATTGAGATGTATATACTCTTTACTTTCTTATTGTATTTGGCACTGTTCGTCTTGGAAGATAGTCAGTAGATCTCTCTGAATTTCCATTAATCAAGTTTTGGGTGTTAAATGGGCAAATAAGCCTTATATTAGGTAGCATTGCAAGACCCAAGGCTAAAGAAACCTGAGCTGACAGTAGTTGCTTAGGTCTTCTCTTTTGTTATCTAGTTAACTTTAATAAGAAATACTGCACAAACCAAGCATCACAGCACCATTTAAAATGTGGTATATATTTCCTTTAAGTTATGGCTCATTATTCATTTCATGCATATCTAAAACACTTAAATTTTTTAGTAGTTTATTTCACTGTGTCCAGTTACAATGCATATATCAGCCAGAGTTCATGAAGTAATAGTGTGAATGATTCATGTGTATACTTTTTAGAAAGTACACTCCGTTTCTAGCTATGTACACAGAAAGAACTATATTCTTTGTGAAAATAATGAGAAAATTCAACCCATTTAAAAGAATCAGCATGTTAATTTCAAGTTTAGTTTTCTTTTTCAGCTATAAGAATAAATATTTATCATCTGTTTATTATGTTTAACAAATAAATTTAAAGCTAAGTTTATAAGTAACTTAGAACAATTGTACAAATATAGATAAATGTGTAAATGATATAAAACATTTTATTCCTATATCATTTTATAAATCATGTATACTGCGATAAAGTTTTGCACTTGGTTCACTAGTAAAACCACTATTCAACTAATTATATGGGCATTCAGGTGATCTAGAAGCATAAAGGAATTTTTAGGTATGCTTATCAGGAAAAAACATATTCAAAAATTCAATCATTCTTTATGAAAAATTGAGCTTGATGTTGGCCCTTTTATTAGAACATTTCCTGAGCAAAGTGCATTTTCAGTTTCTGCATGCTAGGACACTGTGTAGGGAGCTGGAGGAGAGGGTGATAGAATTTTCCCTACTAAGACTACGAAAAATAAGTCCAGGAACCTTCTCAGGTTTATGTCTCCATTGTGAGTAACTGTAGAATGGCAAAGAAAGTTTCTTTCTTTCTTTTTTTTTTAACTAACCTGTTTTCAAACTATTTGTCAAATCTTTGTTGTGCAATAGAATATTTAAAGATAATTCTTTACCATGCAGTAGAATTCTTCTTTACAGAAGCTAGAAATTGTCCAAAAATTTTAATAACATTTCCAGAGAGGCACAAACATATTAAAGGTGAATTTCAAGAGTTTCTGTTTACATTTATTTGTATCTTAATAGCACCTGAACTGATACCTGCTGATGTGTTATCAAATTTTCCCTATCTATTTTTAGATCTTCAGTTGCTTTAGAGACGGATTTAATATATTAGGCAGAAGCTTACACTGTGAAACATTTGCATTATTGTATTTTGGTTTCGCCATCAGCTAAACAGGGCAAAGTTGATCCCATCTCCAAAGAACTCTATCCCACATTTTCTCTATTGACTTGGAGTTTCAGTTTTGCTTACCTGCTTCCTTGAAGATACTGTGCTGTTGAAACATCTATTAGAGGTATTTAAATTCAAATTTGTGTTCTGATGGGTTGAGTCATTTTTCCATGTCTTAGAGTTTTCTTTAGGATCTGAAGGAATGGGATTTAAGAAAAGGATTCTAGCTATGAATCCATAGAGGACGGTAGCCAGGATCATTGGCACAACATAAAAGACACCAAAGTCCATTAGGTAAATAGGTGAGTAGTAATTCCTGGAGATCTTGTAGCCACAGGATATCACAATAGCATCTTTGTAGGTGCTAATATTGAGATCCAGCAAGAAGAACCAGAGCATACAGTAAATAGATGTGAACGCCCAGACAAAGATGATAATCTTTTTGGCTCTGGAAAACGTGCAGAGAAACTGGGCTTTGATGGGGTGACAGATTGCTATGTACCTCTCAATGGTAAAGGCTGTTATTGAACAAGAGGATGCATTAATTCCCAAATACTGGAGGTAAGTAATGCAGAGGCATCCAACATAGCCATAGACCCAGGAACCATAGATACTGTCTGTTATATTGGGGAGGCCTGCGGCCACCAAGACCATGAGATCAGCTACTGCCAGGCTCACCAAGTAGCAGTTTGTGGGGGTTCTCATGTGCTTGGTTCTCATGACAACGAGGACTACCATGATGTTACCCACAATCCCCAGGCCACAAATAATGAGCATCAGTAAGATGGTGACCACCTGGTATTCTAAGGCCACTACTGCTCGTGGCTGAAGCTGTGTTTGGTTCAGTTCACTGACTGTCTCGTTTTCCATCTTTTGTGGGTTAAAGTTTCTCGGAAACACTGACTTCTTAAAACATCTTCTTTCCAGTGCCCACCTTCATTGCAGCAGTTCCAGCCCCCTGTGAAGGGTCATAATACACATTTATTAACAGTGTTATCATTTCGGATCAAGTCCCAGTCACAAGTAACCCTCATTTCCACTCCTTTCACTTCCTGGTTTTCTATGAGAATAAGGCTCACATGTACTTCTTAAAACTTCTTTTATTGCATCTCTAGTGTAGAATGGAGTAACTGTTGTGATCAGCTTACATTAAGAGGGAGAAGTTCCCTCTTAATGGAGAAAAATGCTTAAGGAAGGAGAAACAGAAAAAACTTCCTGTTTTGAAACAGTGCCCAATTGAAAAAAGAAAACTAATGGTATCTGCTAAATGAAAAATAAATACTAACAAATATCCTAGATGCTTGGCAAAAGTATAATAAAGGAGAAAAAGATACCAGAGGAAAAAGCCAAGCGGCTCAATAATCAAGCTTGTTAAAATTTAGCTGTCGCCTCTTTTGCTCTCAGAGGGTAAGATCTGCCTTTGGTATAAAATAGCAAGCCTTTGAGATGACATTTCCCCATGCCCCCTGCCCCATATATTCAAGAGAGAACAGTTTCTTTTCTTACCTTATCCTGTGTAGCACTGCCTGCTTTTCTGGGTAGATGAAGTAGTAATAGGTCCAAGTTTCTAATCTCGCAGAAAATCTCGTCTACTCTATTTGACAAGGAGATCACTTAGCAGGGCTCAGTTTTTAAAACTGCAGTTTCTCCAAACCCTCACAGCCCTTTTCAAGTAATGACAGACCATACAGCCGCAGCAGAAGCAGAAGCAGCAGCAGGAGCAGCAGCAGTGAGGCTGTCAAATCATAGATCGTCCCCTAATGAGAACATACACGCTCGCTCGCTCTCTCACACACACGCGCATACATTCACACACACTCACAAATGCCAGTCAGTCCTCACTGATTCAGAGTCTTCTGCTCTTGGAGGATTTACTGTTAAATGTGTTGATGATACAGTGTTTACTTTGGAAAGCTGAAATCATAAGCAGGGGGTCCAGGAGCAGCTGATTTTGTGGTTGCTGATTGTCTAAGTTCTGCAGAAACTCCAGTACCAGAGCTGCTCTGAAATATATTTACACTCCTTGCTTGATGGGACTTTGAGGGTAGCAAATCTTTGTCAGTCTCAAAACGGCCCTTGAAGCTTGAAATATCTGCCTAAGATGAAATCAGCCTCTTTCTCTGCTATGAAAACCCTTACACTGTTTCTCAACGGAATCAGTACAATTGGCTTCCTCCTCTCATATTTTGTGAATGGAAAATGAGTTAAAATTGATTTCAAACCATTTCAGCTGCAGTCTTCTGATGCTTCTAACAATTATTTTTCAACAGCCTCTTTGAGTTAGAAACATCAATTTAAACCTGCATAGAGTCTGTTAAGTTTGTTTTTGAACTCTTGTTTCTGGATGACTTTATAGAATCTCTCTATCGGCCCTGGGTGCTTTTCCCCTTCGTCCATCCTCTGGATTTCCAATCACATGAACCACCTGGCAATGTTGCATCTCAGTTTATTTCTAGGTGGAAAAATCATCAAGTAAAAATCTAGACTAGTGCCACTCTGGTACCACAACTCTGAAATGAAAATGTATAGATACACCTTTTTAAGAAAAGTATTCAGCTTTATTATTTCTCTGACATAGCCAGTGGGCAGATCTATACTGTTTTATGTTGTTTTTTTTTTTTTTTTTAAGATAGGATCTCACTCTGTTACCCAGACTGGAGTACAGTGACATGATCACAGCTCACTGCAACCTTGAATTCCCAGGTTCAAGTGATCCTACCACCTCAACCTCCCATGTGGCAGAGACTACAGGCACACACCACCAGGCTCAGCTAATTTTTGTATTTTTTTGTAGAGATGGGGTTTTCGGGTTTTGCCATTTTGCCCAGGTTGGTCCTGAACTTCTGAGCTCAAGTGACCCCCCCACCTCAGCCTTTCCAAGTGCTGGGATTACAGGTTTGAGGCACTATGCCTGCTCTTAAATCTACATTTTTTTTTAAAGGAAGCTCAGAAAACATGTATTTTTTCTCAAGACACCAACTGAATACATCAAATGCTAATGCTTCCCCACTTTCATCTTATTGACTGACAATGAAAAATATCCTTAGCTAAATTTCCTGTAAGGTAACTGGTGAATTAGGAATAGACCTCTTTGCCAGGTGTGATGGCTCATGCCTGTGATCTCCCGGCACTTTGGCAGGCTGAGGCAGGTGGATCATCTGAGGTCAGGGGTTTGAGACCAGCCTGGCCAACATGACGAAACCCTGTCTCTACTGAAAATACAGAAATTAGCTGGGCATGGTGGCATGTGCCTGTAATCCTAGCTGTTTGGGAGGCTAAGGCAAGAGAATCACTTGAACCTGGGAGGTGGAGGTTGCAGTGAGCTGAGATGGTGCCATTGCACTCCAGCTTGGGCAACAAGAGAGAAACTCTGTCTCAAAAACAAACAAAAACAATCAAACAAAAAAAACCTCTAGAAGAAGTCAATGCAAGAGTCTATTTTGAGTAGACAGGACTGTAGGGATATCAAAAACATGCCCAAGACCGGGTAACAATGAGATGCAGGTGAAGTTCTGGATTATATTGAATGACTCTCACCGTTGAACCACTGAGGAATCACTTAATTTCTACTTCCCAATTATTTGTAGTAACATATTAATGACCTGTGAGCCCACGGTCAGCCTTCGGTCATGTATAGTTGGCCTGTCGGTAGGCCCAAGGGATTTAACACAGTTTATTATTTTTTACCTTTCAAAATTGAGAAATTGAATATCAAATTGGGATTGTAATCACAAATATTTGAAAGGTCTGGCAACCAAGGGCTTGCATTTCTTCACAGAAATAACTATTTGCAGCTGAGTGGCTGTTGTGGCCAGGAGTTTGTAGCAGTCCCTGGCACAGGACATGCCTCCTGTTCCTCATGCCATATTAGCTCCAGCTTCTCTCAGGCATGCATACCTGCCCTCTGCTGCCATTTGAGTTCTGATTCCTGCATCACACCCAAGTTCTGAGAGAGACAGTGGAGGGCACCAGCCAAATGCACATTCTTTTTACTCCAAGCAGGATTTTTGTCTGAATTTTAGTTTTCTCCTCCACCTGGTTTAGCAGGCTGGACAATGGCTGTCCCCTCTGCCTTTCTCCCTGGCCTAGAGGACAAAGATTACGCTGAAAACCTTGATTCTTGTCTAGCCTTCTGCTTTTCAGGATGAAAAATGCTTTCTGAAGTGAAGGTGTTTTTCCCTACTGCACCCTACCCCCACCAGTTCCAACTCAAAATTCCTCTCGAGAAGCCTTACTTCGTAAAGCCCATCTTCCCATCTTGTTTCCCTAAGGAGTTTAGTTAGCCTTCAGGCCTCCTGGAAACAGCTCACTTCAAGTCCTATAGCTGACTCGTCAAGATGAGAGGAGAGAACACTACCTCTACCTGCTGTCTCAATTCCACCTCCACTCCAATTCTTTTTTTATTGCCATTCTTCAGCACTTAACAGGCAAGGCTCTTTTCTGTGTCTGTTTGTTCTTTAACACCTATTTATTAAGCTCCTACTATGTGTCAGGTAGCTACAACATAATTCGTTTTACCTCCAAGTAGGTTGTGGTCTATTGGAAGCAGCAGGTTTATAAACAGTTACAGTGAGATATGCCCTAAAAATGTGTGCTGACAGGGTTTGCATTATGAAGGGAAGGCATTTGTGGGTGGTTAGGGCAGTCAGCTGAGGCAGAGGCCTTCTGAGGCAAGGTAACATCTGAGAACAGCCTTGAAGAAAAGCACAGCTTTCCTTTGAAAGTTGGGGAGAGTGAAGACATTCCGACTAGAAGTAACAGAATAATACGAGGGTCAGCTGTGTAAAATGGGCAGGGATGTAGGGAGACAGGAGAGTGATTTTATGACTCAGCTTTGGCCATGAGGAGTTTGAGCTTGTGATGAGACAACCGTTTGATGACCACTAGATAGGTTTTCTAATAAGGCATTACCTGTGCACTGACTCACACTGCCCTTGTTCCTGCTTCCTCCTACCCCTTAACTTGTTCTTTCAACTCTGGAGAGGCTACACTTCTGAGTTTACCATGCTAGACTTGCCTATTCAGTACGGCACCGTCAATCAACTTTCATACTCCCAATCATCTTTCAACCAACTTCATGCTCTTTTTGAAATTATATTTTAAAAGTGTGATTTCATAAGGTAGGTTTTCTATTTGTAAACTCAGATAATATCTAATAAATGCTCCCTATGTGCAAACAACTGCACAAAAATGGGAGAACATTTTTTTAAGGCAGGATCAATATTATGAATTTTCCCTTTTGCCTCAGGTTCCAAGTACTAATCCCCTGCTTACATTTTTGATATTTTGTTTATTATGGATTATTTTCCAATGATTTTGATTTTTAAAGACATTTTACTAGTTAATGTTTTCTTGATGACTGAGTTTTTTGGAGCTCCCTACACTTTGTGCCATCACTTAACTCATTCTATTCTCAGGTGTCTCATCCCTGGCTAAATTTCAGAATCAACTGGAGTGTTTTAAAAATTATAGCAATATGGGTCCCTCTCTCAGACATTCTTATCTAATCAGTCATAAAGTGAAGCCCAAGCTTCGATGTGTACAATGAGATTTGAGAACCACTGAACCACGTCAGCAAAGTCTGGTGTCTGGAGATGGGAAATTGGTGGTGTGGGCTAATCCAGGCTGCGGGAGGGCCAAGTAGCTGAAATAAACTGGGTGTTAAGTAACCACCAACGTTCAGAAAGGTGACAGCTGTAGAAAATTTGGCAGCAGAGAACACTGGCCTGAGACTCTGGTTCCTGTGAGAAATAAACTATGAAGTTTCCTGGGTTTAGAAGTGCTAAATGTGGTACAGTGTATTGAGTTAGGATCCAGGCAGAGAAACCATGGCAAAGACTTGGTCACTGGAATCAGCATGTAAAGTCCGGGTTCTGGAGCTAGAAAATAAAGTCACTACAGGATTTGATGCTGAATCACCTGGGTACTGAACCAAGCAGCTTTGAATTTCTTTTCTGTTCAATTATAGACTTCATCACAGACTCTGGAGTAGGAGAAAGCATTTCACAAACTTTATAGAAAAAAAAATCAAAATCCATTGTGACTTAAATTTAAATATTAGCCAGAGAAGATTATCAGCTTTTGACCAACAAATGGAAATACTTTCTTTCCTAGGATTATGAAGTTGTATTTGTGCTTATTGGAAGAGGCATGAAAACTTGTTGTTTACCCAAAAGTAAAATATACTGTCTGGTAATATTGTCTATTTTGTGTATAAGCTGGCTTCCTTATTTCTCTATCATATATACTTTTATATGGTCCAGAGTCCATGTTCGTAGAGAAAATGGAGTATTAGTTTTGAAAACAAAGCACAGTAGAACTCAACCTAAAAGTGTTTAAAAATGAAAAAGTAAACACATACACACTGCTTTCCCTTGGCAGCCTGTGCAGTCTTTTGTCTGGTCAGAGGAATAGCCTGTTCAGGAAGGGTTAACACTGTTTACAAAAGTTTCCCAAAGTATCACTTGGAGATACAACCAACACAAAAGATTTTAAATGATAATTTTAATCAGGTGTTTAGCTTCTGAGCTTATGTTTACTTTGATTTATTTCATGTTGTATGGAACACTATTTGAACTTATTTTTAAAAGTTCATATAATTTAAGAAAATTATTGTAATTAAATTATTACAAAAGCCCCTTTGTAACAAATTATATTTTATTCTTTACTCCAGACAGGAGGAATTTCAAGTCCAAATTTATATTTTACATAAATTGTTGTGTAAAACATTACCAACAAAATGCTTTTTATTTTTGCCTACTAAATTTATCAACGAAGTATTTGATCTTCAGTTGGTC